CATTATAGAGAAGGCTGGGTGGGCCCCGGAGCCGGTCTGGACCCAGAGGCTAGAGGAAAAATCCTCTGCCCCCGTCTGGGATCGAACCCCGGTCGTCCAGCCCGTAGCTAGTCACTATACTGACTGAGCTATCCCAGCTCATAGTTATGCCAACTATCTAACAAAAATTAGATTGTCTTCTTGCAGAGAATTATTCCAGGCATTCAAGAAACTACATTTAACAAAAGCATGCATTTCAAATACGTGACCTGTAGTTTGGCATACAATGACGAATTGGTTCAGGTGTCTTCGACACAAAATTTTCAATGAGTTCATCAGACTGCTCCGTTAGTCATGAGAGTTGCTCTGTCGTTACCCACAGCCTGTACTTTATTGCTGTATCATCCAGTTCGTTGTAACTGATACTTCTAGTTTTTTTCTGTACCAGGATATGAAATACATGCACTATACATATAATTCTCATTCTTAGCGTTACACACACGTGTACTTATCACTTCCTCCACTCATGCATACCTTTCTATTACCTGCATCATAAGTTTTATGTTCTGATGAATTGTACACGTATGTGTACCATGACACCAGCTAGAATATTCCCCTTTCAGATGGCTTTAGAAAACTTTGAAAGCTTGCAATATCTGGGTAAGTTTCTTTGAATTTGATGTAGGCTTCTTTGAGGCTACACAGCACTAACTATTTCTGCTTTTGTACTCGGTTTCAAAGACGACATGTCTGCTACTCTGTTGTTATTGATCTGTGGCACATACAGATGTCTGAAGACTTCAGTCCATTGTTGGGAAGCGTGGGATGAAACCAAATAATGCTTGGCAGGATGACAGATGTGGTTGATAAGTGGGCTAGGACTTCGTGTGCCCTGGCAACATTACTTTTCATCTGGAAAAATTGTTGCTGTTGTCTTTGATGGACGTCCAGGGCCACAATCTATTATCGTACAAAGTTCCATTTGCTGGAAACCTGAAGGGAAGAGACCGCTGGGGAGACCTAGACGTAGATGGGAGGATAATCTCAGGCGGGATCTATGGGAGATAGGAGTTGAAGGAAACTGGATTTTGTTGGCCCAGGACAGGGTCCGGTGGAGGGCTTTGGTTAATTCGGTGATGAACCTTCGGGTTCGGTAAGCCATCTAGTTAGTTAGTTAGTTAGTTCCATTTGCTTTAATTTTGAGCTTTATTTTGTTGTGAATTCATACATGGATCAGGATTTTTCTGGCATCCTGCAAAATGATGCTGATGCACTTACATGTTATGATTACAGATAATGTTATTTCAGAGTACAGTAGAAATGCAGCTCTGAATATATTATTTAACGTAAATCATTACATCTTTAGTATAAGTGACAAGTATGTGTGAGCTGTCAGACCTGAGTAAATGGTATGAAAATGGGCATTTCTTGCAATATAATAAATTTGTGTCTAATTGCACCTCTGTTATCTGAGGACCACCAGAAGCTACAACTTCAGTATTGAGATGCCTCAGAGTCCACCTTTAGATGATAAAGTGTATAGATTTTCATACATGCATCTGTTAACAGTTCTGAGATATGTGACATTATAAATCCCAATTTTTGTCTAGCTTACAAAAATCATGAAATTTTGTGGTGAGATTTGACCTCAAATTGGCTCCTAAGAGCAATAAGGCAAATTTGGCTTACAAGTACTCCATTTGAGGGTAATGACATGTGAATACAACAAACAGTTTCAGAGTTTTGATATTCCAAACCTGAGGAAAATTTACATAGCAGCTCTTTCTATGTAAAACACTGTTATCAAGAAGTAAGTGTACCTTCAATTCTAATTCACAGTACACTCTGAAATACACATGCTAATTCTGAAGGGATTACACTTTTTTCATAACTTGGTGATATTAAGTGCAATTGATTTGTCCATCATTTGTTCACTTGAGGTGGAATGACCCCTGTGTAAGAAATGGCAGAGTGTTAAAAGTTCAACTACAGACCTACTGAAGAGAATGAAAGTAAGGCTTTCATCACTCTTTTATGTTCACCTCAATTTTTAATATGGAAATGAAAATGTGTTTTTATTGTTTACAACATACTTTTCTGGTTGCCCTATATTCCAAGCAACAATGTCCATCACATGCAATACCCAACATTTCTTTGTAGTTTGATAATAACCTAGATTGGAATGAAAGAAAGCAATTGGTTTCAAAGTCCCTGTTTCAGGTAATTTTAACAGACTTATTATGAATATCAGAAACACCTGCCAAATAGGGTGGTTAGTCACTGGCTTCTCACTGTAGAAGCCCACACTCACACCCAGGGTAGTCTATATGGGATTTCTGGTGGACAAAGTAGCATTAGGGCAAACTTTTGTCTGAGTCTTTTGGTATTGCCTTGTCAATATCATTCCACTGTTCCATTCACTAATGAATTATCTCAGGATGGGCAATCAATCTGTCAGCAGCTGTAGTTCAACAGTGAAATAATTTAATCCCATCATTTAAAAAAACCCTTGGGAACCATGGTATAAAATTGTTTGCATTATCAAAACATTAATTATTTACATAATGGTTACATTGTTGGGTTCACTTATGACGTCAGCAGGTAACCAGTGGAAAATTCTTGCGCTTGCAACAAATAGAATTGCATGTGACGCGAAGACAACATTATTCTTTAATATCCGCAGTCGATAATAACGATCACAGGGTGCCCTCACCTGAAAAAGTTACATGACACCAGTAAACAACAGCTGCGCAAATACCCCACTAATCTAACATAACCAAAAAAAATAAATAAACCGACACGAGGTATGCTAAGTCAACAACAAATGGCGTCCTGCGCACGAATTTCACGAACATAGAATGGTTGGTCGGAAATTACTGACATTTTGTATGGACGTCATGCCACTTGTAAGTTAATGAAATTCACGTAATTATGCTCACATGTCAGTGCATATTTCTTGAATGGTGCCTATATGTGTAGAAATTGTTAACGAAATCCCAAAATTTACACAGTTAATGAACAAGAATATTTATGGCGAAAAAACAGATAGTAATGTTTTTATCCATAATCGTATTTTCATACGTAATGATTCGAGCATTGAATCCATCAGAAGTAAATACAGAAGTTAAAAGTGGATCAAAATATATGTAATTGACTATTTGAGATGCTATTATCAATTACAGCTATTAACATTCACAAGTTTTCCCTGAATGCATCTGGTTAGTGGTACATTTTATGTGTTAAATTATAATTAGTGGTACGCCAGTGAAAAAGGGAAATGGTTTTAGTTGGGGTTTCAGGTTTTCATAATGTTATGTTGGTTATTCTGTTTCAGATTTAGTATCGTACCCATGCAGTACCAACTTGCACTACAAGCAAGTCGCCAAAGTAGGTTCGAATTTTTCCATAGGAGACGGTGAAAACTAGTACCTGCGTGAAGTGTAGTAAAATAGATAGTTTATTTACATTTTATAGATCCTTCATAGACCTAAACCAAGTATGTAGAACATGTCATAGCACAAATACAATACTCGTTTCCAACACGCATAATTTCATGGTTAAGATTGATTTACAGTTAACTGAAGTATCAGCAAAAATAATTACACCAAGAAGCATGATCACTATTGCTTATATGTATTTTTGTAGCTGAGAATTTACTCTTTTAGTGATGACTGAAAGTTCGATTAAACCTTTTTATGGAAGGGGTGGGTGGATTATTGAATAGCGTAATTCCAGTATAGTGAACTCCTTTTTGATATTTACTGAGGTTAGAATTTGATGCATGAAAGGCGGATCTGTTGTTTTATACTTATATTGTGGATATCTTAGTAAAATGTAATATTCTTCATAAAATATAGGTGAAATGTCTTGTAGGTGTAACTGAAATTAGCATAAGTTAAATGGCTGTGGGTGAACTGTTGTGGAGCTATTGGGCATCATACCTTTTTCACCAGGACAAGTAGCACAATTGCCAACAACTAGTGTGCGGTAATTGGTATTGTTCCTCAGGGGAGATTGTGTCTGTGGAAATTCTGGTGCCAAATGAGCATTGTCCGGACCACAGGTTATCCATGAATAAGTATGGAGTAATTGTGGAATTTTTGATGGAAAAGAATCTGTCTCATTACCACTTTGTCTACTGCAAATCCTAAGTTGGTTACACAAGGCCGTAGCAGTAAGAGGCCGACAACCCACTGCCTGAGCTATGACACAGCTTTGTAAGGTAGTCTAATGGTGACATTGTCCTTCACAGACCATTGCAGCAGAAAGTGCACTGCATGCAAAATTATTTAAAAAATGTCAATGACTGATGCTATTTTCTGGTGTTTAGGTGCCACTGATTCCTATCTGGCCATTGTTTAACTTTCAGATGTCGTATATACCCTTCATAGGTATGCAGTTCATGATTGTTTTTGGTAACCTTTCATCTGTTATCCCACAATGTTAGAGCAAATGGATGTAGAAAACCTGTGGACCACAAGAACCTGGTGTCAAACAGACAAAACTTAAAATATCTTTAATCAGTACTTCATTTATATTTTATATTTTTTTTTATTTCACAATATTGAATTCAGCATTTATTGTATTATGGACCTGTGATATGGTTTACAGATCTTCCTCTGTAACTATCACATTTTTGTTGCCTTACATGTATATGGAGGTTATCCATGTAATTTTCCATGTTACTAATTTACCATTTGTTACAGAGGAATTTAAATAGGTCCAAGAATTTTGAGTCACCACTTTTAATTCTACTGAAATTTCTTCCAGGTCTGCTGATATGTCATTTTTAATTTTCTTTATTTTTCCTTAATATTCCTTTCTGTTATTACAGGATCTCCCTTATTCTTATTTGTTTTGTTGAGTCTCCTCATGACCTTCGACTATGGCGCAACAGCCCGAGCTGAGCCTTGGCCTCCTCCTGCATGAAAGGCGGATCTGTTGTTTTATACTTATATTGTGGATATCTTAGTAAAATGTAATATTCTTCATAAAATATAGGTGAAATGTCTTGTAGGTGTAACTGAAATTAGCATAAGTTAAATGGCTGTGGGTGAACTGTTGTGGAGCTATTGGGCATCATACCTTTTTCACCAGGACAAGTAGCACAATTGCCAACAACTAGTGTGCGGTAATTGGTATTGTTCCTCAGGGGAGATTGTGTCTGTGGAAATTCTGGTGCCAAATGAGCATTGTCCGGACCACAGGTTATCCATGAATAAGTATGGAGTAATTGTGGAATTTTTGATGGAAAAGAATCTGTCTCATTACCACTTTGTCTACTGCAAATCCTAAGTTGGTTACACAAGGCCGTAGCAGTAAGAGGCCGACAACCCACTGCCTGAGCTATGACACAGCTTTGTAAGGTAGTCTAATGGTGACATTGTCCTTCACAGACCATTGCAGCAGAAAGTGCACTGCATGCAAAATTATTTAAAAAATGTCAATGACTGATGCTATTTTCTGGTGTTTAGGTGCCACTGATTCCTATCTGGCCATTGTTTAACTTTCAGATGTCGTATATACCCTTCATAGGTATGCAGTTCATGATTGTTTTTGGTAACCTTTCATCTGTTATCCCACAATGTTAGAGCAAATGGATGTAGAAAACCTGTGGACCACAAGAACCTGGTGTCAAACAGACAAAACTTAAAATATCTTTAATCAGTACTTCATTTATATTTTATATTTTTTTTTATTTCACAATATTGAATTCAGCATTTATTGTATTATGGACCTGTGATATGGTTTACAGATCTTCCTCTGTAACTATCACATTTTTGTTGCCTTACATGTATATGGAGGTTATCCATGTAATTTTCCATGTTACTAATTTACCATTTGTTACAGAGGAATTTAAATAGGTCCAAGAATTTTGAGTCACCACTTTTAATTCTACTGAAATTTCTTCCAGGTCTGCTGATATGTCATTTTTAATTTTCTTTATTTTTCCTTAATATTCCTTTCTGTTATTACAGGATCTCCCTTATTCTTATTTGTTTTGTTGAGTCTCCTCATGACCTTCGACTATGGCGCAACAGCCCGAGCTGAGCCTTGGCCTCCTCCCGTGTGGAAGGTTTCTTTGTCTTTGAAGCATGCTTTTATGAGTAGTGAGTGACCAGCCCACTGCCTCTGCATAATTTTTATTCAATCCGGATTTTGTCTGATAGACCCATCTAGTAGAGAATCAGGAGAGACTTGGGTGAGAAATGGCCGCTGTATTTAGCTTACGAAACATCTAGTTCATGCTCGTAAGGTTCTTTTACATGCTGTAAATCTACGACATGGGACCGCTGGCTTTACTTCCCCTCTAAAGGAAGTTGTGATACAGATTTTTATCACCCTTAAAAATCCACCGACATCGGCCGGGTTAGAATCCGTGAACTTTGGGTCAGTGGCGAGCATACTAACCACTAGTCCACCGAGGGCGACTCTCATGACCTATCAATATATTACAATTATTCAAGGTGCTCCAAAAAGATGTATACACGCATTCAGTTATGACCACCGTTGGCTTTGCAGCACAGTTGACAACGACCACCAAAGTTGCTGCTGGGATGGCTGTCCATTCAATTTCTTGCTGGAATTCTTGAAGTGTTGCTGGCTTTGTGCTGTGCACCATGCTCTTCAAGTAACCCCACAGAAAAAGTCAAGTGGGTTTAAATCTGGTGATCATAAAGGAGACTTAACAGATCCTCTGCATCCTGTCCGTCAGTCAAAAGAATGTTGTCAAGATAGGCTCTTACATCATGTTAATGTGGGGGTGCCTCATCTTTTTGATACCACATGGACCCCTTGCAGCTGACGAACAGCAGGAACAACAGATTCTTGACTGTGTCTACATCTGTTTGGTACATTCTGTATTTTGCCATTGTTCTGCACTTATGATTTGCAATACTTTTTGCACTTTTGAAATAAATTTACATGATTCTGTATGCTTTTTCTCCAACTAAGTAAATTTGTATTTCAGAACATTTTCTTATCCCATGCCCACTTGTCTATTGACTGTTGTGTTTGGGTGAAACATGTATAACTTGTGGCACACAGACAATAAAGTTTAAAGAACAAATTGGATTACCCTAATGATGGCCTATAGGAAGTTTAGGAAGGTAATATGTGTACAGGAACCTCAATTATTGATCTTGTTTGCCAAGTTGATTAGTCCCAGGTGTTATGTATGCTGTAAACGTTTGTCTGTAAATATCACACCATTTCCTGCCTGTAATTGTCTTGTTTAATAATTTTAGTTATGTGCATGTATTGAATAAAGAGAAGGTATATTTTGTTGGGGGGGGGGGGGGTTGCAGCTGTGCCCATGACTGCGTACATGTTAAGCCAAATTCCTGGTTTGTCATTGTTAAGATAAGATGCAAAGGGAATGTTTCTTGTAAGATTTGAGGTTCTCACAGCGATGAGTATGAAGATATCTGTCTTCTGGGTTGTTGCGCTGTGTAGTCTGGTAGATGTTTACCAACGTTTCAGAGGTCATACTGCCTCCGTCATCAGAGTATGAAGATATCCGTCTTCTGGGTTGTTGCGCTGTGTAGTCTGGTCGATGTTAACCAACGTTTCAGAGGTCATACTGCCTCCGTCATCAGGGCGATGAATATGCCAATGGGGTGTGTGGGGCTAGGTTTATAGGAGCCGGATTGCGCCCTGATGACGGAGGCAGTATGACCTCTGAAACGTTGGTAAACATCGACCAGACTACACAGCGCAACAACCCAGAAGACAGAAATCTTCGGAATGTTTCTTATTTCTCATCTTTTTATGGTTTCATTTTGTGATGACATAGTTGTAAAATAAAACTAAATGTTTTGCAGATAATCCAAGAATGGACTCTCATGCCCTTTCCAGAATGCTGCAAGTTGGCCTTTGTCCGTGCCTAAGCAGGTTCAAGTACGTGGAAAATTTCCTTGAAATAAGAATGGTAATAATTTATAGTGTAAATATGATACGTAAAGCGAGATTTCAAGTTCTCATGGCAGGAAATATGATGATGGTTGTCTTCTGAGTTGTTGCACTGAAGATCATAAGAGGGACTTGAGGATGAAGTGAGAGAAAGTGCATAATGAGAGCCCCGTATTTTGAACCGATTATCAGTTATTGGGGTGATCGAATGTAGGAGAATGAGAGGTGGGACATGTGGCACACATGGGAGAATGGGATATCCCAAAGGGAAGAGACCACTTGGAAGATCTAGGCATGTGTGGGAGGACAATATGTATCTTGGGGTAGTTGGGTTTGAGGGTATGTATAGGATTTACCTGGTACAGGATAGGGGCTGATGGTGGGCTGTTGTGAACATGGCAATGATCCTTCAGGTTCTATAAAGTGTGGGGAAATTCTTGATCAACTGAGTGTACTGTTAGCTTCTTAAGGATGTGATGGTTGCATACCAGCACAGAATTTCTGAGCTCATGAAAAGTTTTTTTTCTTTGTCAGATCAACCACAAGCGTTAAACAGGAATGGCCTCAACTTGAGCAGTCAACTGTTGACGAAGCTGACATTAAGCACCACAGTGAGATGGCCAGCAAGTGGTGGGATGACAGAGGAGTTACGAGGGGTCTTCATGCATTAAATAAGCTGAGGTGACATTGTTTTACAGTGTATTTATTTATTTTTCAATTCATTATTTGTTTATTTAATGACACTCTGTTGCTTTGATTGTGTAAAATGAAATAATAGAATTATGTATGGATAATGAATATGAATAGCTGTGGTAAGTAGCAGTTATGACTTCATTTAAGAAACTTGCCTACTATTTACCTCGAAGGACTGAAAAAATTTCAGAAATCAAAAACCGGTCTCTGTGCTAAGGATTGAAATCTGGGTGTCCTGAATCCGAAGCAGGAA